TGTGTGTGTGTTATGTGTGTGTGTGTGTGGGTATGGATTACTTTAATACTTCTAAAATTTTTTCCGTCTCAGAGTATGTTTGGTATTGTATCGATGGCTGAGTTATGGATTTTTCTTAAGTTTTTCACAGATGTTGCTGACAGCAATAAAGCTACTTATATCCAATACAAATACTGCAATAATATCTGCAACAAGCACATAATGTTCTAGATCAACATTATAGCAGTATCTCGCGCTTTGTCGCTCTTGCTCAAGTAGCGCCCTGTCGTGCTACCGCTATTGGTCTCGAACAAGGAAAACCTCCGCATCCAGTGCCCAGTGTAAACCGTTAGGTCACCGACGTCGTCAATATTCGTCATTTTTTTTCGTTTTTTTTTTATAATAGTCGTGCGTATAAGTTGACAAGTTGATAATAAGTTGACAAGTCCCATGTGCCTGTAATTTCACCAGCACCCTTACCCTTCAAAAACGGAACACAGTAATGCTGACGTTATTGCTTGGCTGCAGAAAGATGTATCACTATTTCCCTGGACGAACACTTTCACTAGGAGCTTTACTGTTACGAAAACATCATTTTCTGTTAACTTTATTATAATATTTCATTACCATAGCATAAACTCAAGTTTATTTACGTCTTTTAAGTAAGTTTACAATGTTACCAGCTCTGTATAATACTAGCAATGCAGTCTTACATAATGGCCACCCGTATTAATGCACGTAAACCGAATTATACAAATATTTATGTGCCATGCTAAACACGAATTGTGAGGGCAGGGGCGACCAAAACTCCTGCATAATGCAACAAGTAATAAAGTGCGTCATTAGAATGCATCAAACGCATCAACACCAATTGACTAAATGCGTCTAAATGCTACACAGCTCCCACACACGACACGAGCTATGAATTTATAAAAATGTAATAGCTTAGTTTTTACTGCATCTCTGGATTTTGTCTGGTGTGAAATATGAACATATCGCCTTTTTTATTTTTATTCTTTGTAGTAAAAAAATTACAATAACAATTTAATCAAAATAAATTCATTCATCGTCTTTTTTTGACATCTGTATATTTATTTTATTATAAATAGTTACTTAAAAAATGGATGCAACACTGGCAGGAGACACTGTTAACAAAAGACACTTGGTATCATGGTATACACTCTGAAATTAAACAGCCGTGGTTTGTGAAAAGAAGATATATTCATAGAAAGTTCTATAGAACTATTTGCAGATTACGTCTTGGTCATGGATGATTCAATGAACACCTGCATAGAATGCACATGATCTCCCCGTCGTGTACTCACTGTAACTACTCCAACCAATCCTTGCATCATATATAATATATAAGCTTCTTGAACTGAACAAAACCCCTGAAAACATCCCGCTTTCTCTACCAGATCTCCTGAAAAATCAAGAATATTATCCAATTTTATATTATTTCGTAAGAAGCACTATCGAAGACATTTAATTCTTGTAATGGAATACAAGAAAGAGATTACTCTCAGTCTTGGCTGTATGGCGCATTAGCGCCTTTGCCTTTTCCAATGGAAAAAAACATTACCAAAAAAAATAAATATAGGTTGTCTATGTATGTGTCCATGGCACCCGCGACACAGGGTTTCCCTATTGCGGGGCTATGTTGAGTGTATGCGTTATTATTATTATTATTAATTTCACTAAAACCGCTTCCGCTAGTACTTTATATCTCTAATTCCTAGCTCCGAGTTTCATAAGTTTATGCGCGCACGCTGGTCGGCGCAGACGCATGATACCCGACATAATTCGGGACAATTAATCCGAATCGTAACATGGAAGTGCAACGAACTAGTAGACACTGTTTATTTACTTTGTGTATTTGTTTTTGGGTTTCCGATGAAAACGAATATACGTATACAAGAATGTGGAGTTGGTTCATTGGTTTATGAAGTTATATTTTATATTTAGATTTCTTACGTACGGAAACTTCTTATCTAGTTTCACAATATGTTTATAAAGACGACATATTGAAATCAGCATGGGTGTTTGAGATTTAGCACTTTTCCTTTGATAAATCTGTGCCAAGCCGATTGGCAGTTATTGAACGGGAAACTAGATAAGTATCATAAAAAGAAGTGAACCAAATTGAGGACTCGAAGCTAAATTTTGTTTTTATAATACCAAGTGACGGAACAAACAGTTGCAGTGCCACTCAGAGCTTCAAATCGCAAAGATCTTAGGGGCACTGCCACTGCGTCTGTCACTTACGGCTATCGTGACAAGATGTTTTCTCGTTGGCACATCAGCTTGTCATAAAAACAATATCGCCCACCCTTAGGTACACCTCGTAGGGTAAAAAATAATTAGGGTTATTTGATCTCGAAGTTCCGTAACTGTGGTTTCATATACCTAAGATTACATAAATAAGCACTTTGTTAAGTCTAAAAAGTTGTTGTTTTCATTTATTTCTACCAAAACCCAGAAATTACCCAAAGTAGGGGCAAGGTGGTCCCCTGGATCATCTTGCTCATTTTATACATATATTGCTTGCTTTAAAACCCTACCTTTGGCAGGGTTTTAAAAATATTCACATAGATGTAAACATATAAATTTTCTATCATGAAACGCTTTTACATTTGCTTTAAACTGAATATCTTTTTAAGTACCACCATTCTCCTTTAAGGGGATCATGTGGTACACCTTTCCCTATCTGCATGCGGAGCTTTTTAATCGAAAGCGCTTACAGTTTCCTACTGCATTTGCGTCAACTATAATAGGAAACATGAAATGCAAAAAGGATACCTGGCTAAACCATTTTTAACATGTTGCCGGCTGTATAAGGTTGTGACAATTCCTACATATAAACAAATAATCGGAATACAACCATAATATTGTTCCCCTTACGGTTCTGTGTCATCAAATGGATTGTGTGGGTGTTGTGTTCACCTGGAAGAGTAAACGTGTCCAAGCTCGAGTGTGCTCAGCTGTTACATCACAAATAGAACGTTTGTCTAGATAATTCCTGTGTTATTGTTATGTATCCATTTGGGTAAATATAGGATGGCGTTCATTGTTTGCATAAATCTCATAATTTCCTTGCCAACTGATATATCGACATTTTTGTCATAACTCAGTAATACACCGTACGGTGTAACTATAGCTTTTAAAAGAAAAAACATTATCGGTTAATCGCCATAGCATTTGTTTTAATAGCAGTAGATCTCCACGTTTAAGAGTTCGTCCAGGGAAATACTGTGGGACATACTGCGTTCCGGTTTTGAAGTGATCGCATTAAGAAGTTTAGTAGAATTAATCTGACGGCCTCCGTGGTCGAGTGCACACCGGTCTTCATTGTGTTGCCATCTCTGAGGCCCCATTCCTCTATTATCTCAGGTCTGGGTGTTTGTGGTACCGTCGTTGTTTCCGATTTCCATAAGCCAAGTGCTTTAGCTACTTACTTTGGGATCAAAGCGACGTATGTGAGTGATGTAGTCTATAATTTATTTTATTCCATTTTCATTCTTCATCATTTCCAAGGTGTCTATCAATCTCTTAGATCTGCTTTGAGTAGTTATCCAAGATCCCAAATAACACAATGTCTAATAAGATTCCGGTGGATATTTAAAATTTGCCATTTACGAGGTTTAATACTATAGTGCAACAAAAAATTTATATAGATAGGTACAAAATGTTCTTATCCAACTTTTACGTAGTTGAATAACATTCGCGCAGTAGCAGTGGTAATGATCTTTGCGGTTTAAAGCTCTGAGTGGCACTGCAACTGTTATGGACAGGCGTGTAACTTACCATCAGACGCACGACTTGCTCGTCTCGTCAATAGTATAAAAAAACATAAGCTCACGGATACACATTTTTTATTATTTCATCATTTACTCACTCACACCCTACAGCATTAGAGTATAGACACTGCTAACTCATGGTTTGATTATGTGATAATAGAACACCATCATAACCCTATTCACAGGTCTTGAATTTAGAATAGGTTATGATGGGCTCAATCACAACTCACGAAATACAACGACGCCTGTACAACCAAAACGTTTTTATTTAAGTGTTATAAATCACCATAGTATCTTGTACCTTGTCTGTTCTTCTAAATAAATTATTAATTGAGTTTTTTAAATTAATCTGAGCCGTAATATTGTTCCAGGTCCCGCCTCTACTAGGCATCTGGGGCCAACTAGGCTTGGATCGGGAGACGTATTCCTGCACGATATTGCCCAAAGACAACAAGTCTCCGAAGAAATATTTGTTCGTGTTCGGATTCGCCCTGCCGTGTGTGGTCATCATTGTGTCCTATTCGTGCATTTATTGGCGCGTGAGACAGAGCAAACGGAACCTGGAAGGACGCAGGTGTGTATGCGGGTGAGGATCTAACATTTTCTTGACGGTGATGGGTTTTTGAAATGGTTTTTTAGTCGAGTGCCAACACAATTAATACCCTGGCGCCCTCTAGTATGTACATGATCAAAATGAAATTCTTAGGGTGCGTGCACGCTAAGAAATTCGACGTGACTGGTACAGAAAAGACGAGAATGGTCCTGTACACGACAAGAACTTTTTTTAAACCACTCATAACCTCGCACTAGGGAAACCCTGTGTCGCGGGCGCCATGAACACACACATAGACGATCACAAATTACACCCAAACCCACGAGAGAAATAAATGAAGGCCATACAAATATTTCTCCCGGCCCGGAAATCGAACCCAGGACCTCTGCATCGCAGTCCAGCATGGTAACCGTTCGGCCACAGAGGCAGTTAACTTTGTCGGATCTAGCCACGTAAACATGACGTGTCTGTTGCAGACGAGAAAATGATGAGTATGTACACGATACGAATGCTTTCGGACAGACTTGTGTAAGGTAAAATGTGTCAGAGCATTACGAGTCTTCCAGGTAGTTGTCGTTTTACTACTGACTGTGACGAAAGAAATAATATGTTGTACATTTTGGGTTGACTACTAAACAACACCCGTCCACGCGCGTAAAGGTTCGTTTACTGACAAAGCACCTCACCCCGCCCCATACAATAGCGGCAAAGCGCGTCGTGTCGGGGGTAGACAAGATTTTTTTAGCGTGGACACGCGCCCTTACAGTGATATTTTTCCCAACGATCGGAAATTCGATCGAATCTATATACGTCAAGTGTCTAGGGATCAAGTACGTTTTGGTCAATTACTGAAAATCAGGTTTTTTAATTAACTTTTAACCACCTTTCGATAAACAAAAAAACTCCACAGCAGAAAAAAACTTTACATCAAAAGA